GCTGTCCATAACCAGGGAGAGAGCTCAGAACCAGAGAATAATTCAGGTCAGTTTCTGTCCATAACCAGGGAGAGAGCTCAGAACCAGAGAATAATTCAGGTCAGTTTCTGTCCATAACCAGGGAGAGAGCTCAGAACCAGAGAATAATTCAGGTCAGTTTCTGTCCATAACCAGGGAGAGAGCTCAGAACCAGAGAATAATTGAGGTCCAGTTTCTGTCCATAACCAGGGAGAGAGGTCAGAACCAGAGAATAATTGAGGTCCAGGTTCTGTCCATAACCAGGGAGAGCGCTCAGAACCAGAGAATCCACAGAATCCACAGAACCAGAGAATAATTCAGGTCCAGTTTCTGTGCATAACCAGGGAGAAAACTCAGAACCTGAGGATGAGTTCAGAACCACAAACAGTGGATAGGGTTCTCTGGAAGCCCAGACCACTGATGCCTGGCTGGATGTATGATGCTTGGAGGTCGATTGAAGGGATCCATCAGAACAGCAACAGTGAAATACCCTGAAGCCATGTTGGAGGTGGGAGGGTGGGGGGCAGTGCCTTTTAAAAGCATTTACGCATGCAGCACTGTTAAGACCCTTTACAGTCTGCCATCCACACTCACTGTCACCGATCATCACGGTTATTCTGCTTGTAGTGAGAAATCACTCTGCGTGCGAGTCACTCAGGCGTGAGCCCCCGACCCAAATTAAAAAGCGGGCGACGCTCTGCGTTAATATTTAAACGTGTGTGTCTGGGCACGGCTGTGGGTTGCAGGAGTGGGCGGACATGCAAACGACAGCCAGAGGTGTTGCAAGGGGGTGGGGGGCGTGGCCTTCCACTATAATCCATTTAACACATGGGAAGGGAGGATCTGACCGTGTGTGTGTGTGTGGATCCTGTATATATGTAATATATACAGTATGTGTATATAATGGGGACATTTTATTTTTACGTTGTGGGGACCACCTTTTCGGTTCCCACAAGAGGAAACTCAATTGTATAAAAATATGTGACAGCAATCAAAAAACTAAAAATGCCAAAAGTATTGTATTTTGTTTGGTTGCTTATGGTTAGGGTTAGTACTGGGTAGGGATTGGTTGTCATTGTTAGGATTTTTCCCATAGAAATGAATGGATGATCCCCAAAAGACATTGTGTGTCTGTCTAAGGGCTAAGCACAGCCTTCCCTGCTCTCTCAGAATAAGTGGTTTGGAAGTGTGAACCCCATTAGGTCACAGTACAGCACAGAGTCACATGACCTTCTGCTCATGGGCCCACAGTAGTACCCACCTTCCCGGTCTCCCTTCCCCTCCCCCGCGCGTGCCCACTCCTCTCGTCTCCTCACGTCTCTGCGGGGCCACACCCACCCTTGGCCTCCTGGAGGCCACGTTCCCAGTCTGGGTTTATGCTCCCGGCCGCTAGCTGCCTTGCTGGAACATCCAGCCGGATAATGGAATGAGTCTGAGGGGGGCGGCGAGGCCCGCGTGAGGGTGCAGCTTAATGATGTAATCCGCGCCTCTCTGCGGCTAATGCTCTCCACAGCTGCCTCTCCCTCACGGCTCTCTCTGCTCCTTTAATCTCTCCCTCTCCCGCCCCCCTCGGCCCTCTCCTCAGCCCCCTCCCCCCGCCCTGTCACTCCTCCCTCCCACCCTCAGTAGCTTTCGTTCGCTCTTCTCCAGTCTCCTTGGATCCTTTCATCCTCCGTGATCTCTCCTTCCTGTCTTCCCCCCGTTCTCCCCCTGCCTGTCTCTCTCTCTCTCTCTCTCTCCTCAGGTGACATTTTCCTGGGTGGCCCTGGTCGGGCCCTCCCGCAGTTGGGCTGTGATCACGGTTGCGTCTTGCCTGCCTCATTAAGGTTGCAGAAGCAGCGGGGAGCAGCGGGGAGCAGTGGGGAGCAGCGAGGAGATCTTGTTAAACAGGGGGCGCCGTCACCCCTAGTGACATCGCCACCGCGTCCAGGGAGCGCTTGACACACTTTAGTGCATTTCTGTGCTGAATATTTTGATGTAGTCATATATTTACATTGTACATTTTTATTTATCTGGTATTTTAATTATTTAGCTTTTATCCAAAAGCGACATACATTTGTGCAATTGGCGGCCTCAATTAAGGGCCTCAATCAGGGGCCCAACAGTGACAGCACTCTGCAGACTGTAGGATTTGATCCAACAACCTTCCGATCATGTGTAAAGCATTCCCTCAGTATAAATACGCTTTTGCAAACACGGATGCATACATGTAGATGCACACATATGTGATGCACATATGCATATGTCATGTGTTGCTGTTGCCCCTGGATTTTCAGGCAGGGGGGTAAAGGCGTCGCCGTCCGGGCCCCCAGCACCTGCCGGTATCCGTATCAGAGGCATAAATGGTAGCGCTCTCCTTAGGTGCCTGATTCTGCTCGGGACGCCCTGCCGGACTGCACATGCCCACTTACTGCTTCCCTCCCACTCCCCCCACCCTCCCCCCATTACAGAGGAGATCCTCTCAGCTCCTGCACGTTTATATCTGCACATCACACGAAGGCGGGGGAGGAGAGGGGAGGGGTAGCCCACTCTCTCCAGTGGGAGAAAAGGGCATTTCTCAGGCTCTCACTCACTCACCTCCTGAATACTAACAAAGGTGTTCCTGGCTGATCAACAGAGGCCTGCACACACACACACACATACACACATACAGACACACACACACACATACAGACACACACACACACACACACACACACAGTTCCAT